AAAATATACTTTTTTTTTTTAGCTGTGAGTTTTTTTCGGTCGCTTTTTGTGTGAAGATCGTGTAAGGCTTGATAGTTCTGTGGGAGAGGTACTGTCAATTCTATCTTAACCCCCAATAAAATAGCGAATACGTAGATACGCGGGAACCTTCAGTGAAAATAAGTTTCGAAACTGCTACAATTGTGACATCTACAGACACATATGACATGCCTCAAGATAACAGCTTTTGGTAATCCTGTTTCTACCAATACAGCTACCAATAGAGGCAACCAGTAAAGACATAACTTTCTTTTGTATCAATAAAAAAATTAAAATTTTGGTTTTGGTGATAATAAAAGTTTGGAATCGGCAAAGGGAGCTTATTACGTAAAAAGCTGCTAAACAGGAAAGGACCGAAAACAGCTAAATGTGCGAGTTACCTTTACTAAGTAAAATTTCTAGGAAAAAATTCAGTTGTGGCCACCAGGTACTAAGCGACAACGCGACAGTTAGAATAAAAAGTTAGTACCTGCTTTGTTCAAATAGCCTAAGGTGTAATGTTTGCTCTCACTAAGTTAGCCAACAAAGTTGTATATTAGACCGTTTATACCAAGCTATTAAAAAGAGTAATATACCTAAAATGCCTTAGATACGTTGAGAACTTAACGTTGAACACCATGACCGCTATGACACTTATGAGAGACAAAATTGTTCGCGTGTTATAGCTATGGTAAGGAAAATTACTGTAAGATGTTTACGGTATAAGTTCCGTCAGGGAATTCCCAGGCGTAAAATCTGTTCATTTATCCAAGCAAATATATCCCACCTACCGGTGACACGCAGTCTTGCTTGGCTGAAACGACCGTGTAGCTTGGGTTTTCTTCTACCACTGCTCACTTGGTCCGTCAAAACAAGAAACGCAAACAAAACTAGAAGAGCTCTCATGTCAAACTAATTTATCTTCTCCAGAAATACATCAATGTAGAAAAAAAACAACAGGGACACCGTCAAAACAATTGATTCGAAGACATTTAAGTCAAAGATCAAAGGAAGGTCGTCCTACAGACGAGGATAACTGAGCGTGGGCACCTGCCCCGAGATTCATTTTGCTGTCGTATTTTGAGTGACGTAATCTCTGTGTGGTATCAACGTTTCATTGTGAGTTATTTTTCTGAACGTTCTCCAATATCTACAACTTAATGATAGCGAAGTAACATGTAGGTAATAATTACCTCATATCGCAGTCAAGTTAAGCACTTACGGAACGAGTTTTTTTCTAAACGCCTCTTTCTTGGCAGACTATAACCAGTACTTTAAGGAAAATCACTTTATTTGTCCCTTCTGGCAGAACACTGGTCTCCTATTGTTTGATACCTGTTCCTTCCTGTTCCTTCCTGTTCTCTCAGTACATTAAATTATTTAGGCTTCGGTGTGTGAAACCGTAGACCAAACACAGTTTTTAAAAAACGTTCTCGCAAAAAATAAAACTATTTTCTCTTTGCTGTTACGAATCTCTTGTTGCTGATATCGCTACGACTTCGTTTGAGTTTAAGCTTGAATTTAAACGAAGCAGAATCTGGTCGGTGACCAAGGGGCATATCCTTAATTTACACAGTGTAATTTAAAAAACAATTAAACTTAAACTATCCAATTTGCTCGCTTCACTGCAATAATGAATAACTGTGTGCTAAAGAATGAGGTGACTGCAAGTGAGGTAAATTTGAACCGATTACAATCGAACATTATAGCTAAGCGGTGAATCAAAGTTGGAATTTTTGTTCCTTTTTTATTGGATGAAACTTGCCACTTTATGAGTTTAGAAATCTTATGCCGGACTCATCTCTTTAACAAACTAACATGGTCTCGATACTTAGTATCGTCTAAGACCGCAGTCTCTATTTAGCTACAAAGAACAACTGGGGTAAGAGCGAAGGAATATTATTAAATGCAGGAATGTGTTCTTTCAGAATATCTCTAAATTTTAAAAGATTGTATTTCAAAATGTGAAAATCCTTAAGCGACGAATAATAGCAGATATCTTTGTTAAGAATGTGTAATGTTATTGAATATTGAGTTCCTTTTTCATTTTTACATTGCAGAAATGCCCAAATGAAACGGTTTCCCTAAGATCGGACGATAATCCCTCAATAAGCTTATAAATGAGGGAAATGGCGTTCAAAAACTTAAAACAGTATCTGGTAATTTGAAGGTGCGTCCACGTTGTTCATAAAATTATGCCCAGCGGTATTTAATATATTTCTTCTTGATTGGGAGGTCTAGCCTTGCTAGTCACAGTTGGTGACATACATGAAGCCAAAGATTTTTAGAATATTGTTTTGAATGACACGCTCAACTGGCGTAATCAATTTTACCCTCTTGAGCTTTTGTCCACTTTCTTAGCTTGCAGGTATAATATCATGAGTTGCAGTAACTCGCACAAGGATGTGGCCTAAGATTTTGAAAGATCAGGTTAATTTTTTTTTAAAGTAAGTGCGCAGCACTCCGCTGTTTTGGTTAACTTGGTCGGGTATCATTCAGATTCTTTCCTATTGGTATCTATGGATTCAAGTTTGGTTAAGTTTCTGTAATGTAATGCGAAGAAATAACTGTTTTGTGTTGGTATAGTTGATCATTATTTTCCAACCAAGAGGAAACGATTAAAAAAACATGGTTAGCATAGTTCTTGAAGTCGAGCGCGGGCTTTAGAAGCCTGCATTTGCGCTCGCTATAAACATGGCAAAATGGAGGTTACTTGTTTTGACTGAAAACGGTATATATTCTGCTGGGAGACTGGTTAAGGCGATTTAAAAAAATTCTTCGATGACAAACAATCTTTCTCTTCGAATCCGTAATCTCTTCTCTCGTGCACTAGAAATTATCTCGGCCTTCTTACTTTAGTATTAAATTAAGCCACGATCGAAGAAATAAATTTAGTGATCTTTCGTGATCAGACAAACTGAAAGCGCAACTCGTGATAGAGATTCTCCACGCACTGAAAAAAAAAGTTAAGTAACTCCAGCAATTCGAGGTAGGGATATTTCATGGACTGATTTTTTTCTAAATGTCCATAGGGTGTGGTAGCTTTTACAGATCGTAAATGGCCGCAAACAAATTCATAAATTGATTTTTAATTTTCATTGTTATCGGCGAAAAGATTTGTCCGGGAACCGCTGCTCAGTTTTCATGGTGAATATAACTCTAAACCAATCGATAAACATTCTTCGAGTGGACGGGATGGGTAGGTTGGGAAGTCTTCAGTATTGCCTTTTCCCGACATCATTTTAAGTGATCATTTTAATTGTGGTTTATGGTCGGAGGACTAACGTCATAGCCGTAACGATGAAAACAAAGAAATTATTAAAAAATCATCCTTTATTATCGTTGAAACTTTTCACAAAGTGGAAGTAAACTAAGTCTGAAGTGTGGTTTTATCCCTTCAAAGTCCATAAGGCCATTTATTGTTTCCAGGACTTTGAAGGAAGACTTACATAAATGACATCTTTTTCAATACACGCTTCCTCATATGTATTCCACGATCGATAATCGTTCCCTTCCAGAATTTTGTCCAGGTTAGATGACCACTTTTTACTTCACTTAATCGTTTATTCAATCTAAATGGTACAAAATGACAGTTATTTAGTGAGATAGGTTTATGAAGCCAGAGGTATGAGAAATCTTACTTTTAAGGCCGTTCCTAAGAAAAAAAGGCTATCGAACAATTTATTTTTGAATTTCCTTTAATTTTCCCTACCAATGTCTGTTTAAAAAAATACAATAAAAAAAGATTGGTCACCGTGATTGTTTAAGAGGTGTGATGGACCAAACATATCCCATTTGACCCGTACTGAAACGAATAACGATACATTTCGCGGTTGCTGAAAGCAAGGCTTTTGACAATAACACTTGAAAAATAGGAAGTCTCAAACGTATGTAACGGTTTGATATATATTTTGTGGAAAAATGACACAATTTTAAAACGATGTCGACTCAAAAAACTCCTCGATTTGTTTCTTTCAAGGTCGTGATTTGCATCCTCGAGCAAGAACAAAAGACAATCATACCTGTTTACCTCACTGATTGAAAACCAATATCGTGTTCTCCGAATACGTACGCGCTTATTTGCTTGATTTTTATGCACATTACAGGATGTGCAGTGCAATTCTGAGAAATCACCTTACGACGAAATTTTCTAATCGAGTACAAATATCCTACGATATTGGACAGTTGTCTTTTTTGTGCTGTAAAAAATATGATTACGGTCGGCTGCTTGCGCTACGCTTCTCTATCTGCTTCACTTCACTCACTTGCGAATGAAACGAACCGGTTGAATTATAAATGATTTATTGACGTTTTGTTTGTATTTTTACTCGCCCTGCGAGCTCGTCGTTAAAATACTCAGCGATACTGCACACCAAAACGTCTAATAAGATATATTATAATACATTTTTGCCCCCGCGCAGAGGGCCAAAAACCCGAGGAGGCACCTTAGGACTCCCCGCGTAATATAGAGGAAGACTGGAGAAGAGGGAATGTGGGTATTTTCGGTAGATCATAACCAGAAAAAATCTCGATTTGATCGCTTGCACGGCCGCAAGGTATCAACGTTTTTCCCGCAAATGGTCATGGGCTGCCAGTAAAAAGACACGCGCGCGAGGACTTTTAGGATCGGCGTCTTTGACACGAGATTTGTCCTAGTATAGAGGAAGAATGGAGAAGAGAGAATGTAGGTGTTTTCGGTTGATCGTAACCAAAAAAAATCTCGATTTGATCGCTTGCACGGCCGCAAGGTATCAACGCTTTTCCCGCAAATGGTCATAACTACAAAACTGTAAACAACAAGCCCAACTCAAAAAAAAAAAAAGAAAATGGTACTGTAGGGCGGGGGCAGCTCTAGTGAGAACTATAACTAGTATATATATTGTACGGAGAAATTAGATGCTAATCGCTTTTAGGGGTCAAAAGATTCGAGAAGTTTACAGATGATAAGGCGAGTATTAAGAGCCACAGGCAAACCCATTTACTCACCAAGCACAGTAGCCCCATTTTCGATCAAGATCGAAAACTTTTGTGACTGAACACCATTTTTTGTCAGCATCTTCAGCTGTGCATCTCCAGAAAACTGTGCCTTTGTAAATAAAGGGAAGCCTACAACATGCTCCTTGTGCATTTCCCCCGGCTGTAATATGACCATCTTTACATACTTAAAAGTAAAATGACACAAGGTCAATCCTATACCTGAACTTGAATCAATGTTTTCCTTGACGTGGTCAGTTGAAATGACACTTGCTGGGTTGAGAAAAAACTTCATAGGGCCCACCAACTCTTTCAGCTCTTCGAACGTTTTAACCTGCTTACTCATCTGCTCCTTAACAAGTAATTTAGTGTTAATTAGCCACCGTAAAGGGTAAAAAAGCTGACGTTTCGAGCGTTAGAGCGATTGGATCCGACGAAGGGCTAACGCTCGAAACGTCAGCTTTTTTACCCTTTACAGTGGCTAATTTACGTTTTCAACTCAGTTGTTAACACTAAATTACCTGCTATACTCTCCCATCGACGCAGCACCACAGTTTCTTTACCCCCGTTGCTCCTTAACAAGTTTTGTCATGTATACTTAGTCAAAAAAAACCTTTCATGTTGATATGATACGATTTAACTGAAAAAACTACGATTGCACTCGAACAGTTGAACGTATATTGTTCTCAGATTTAGCTTAACTATGAAGTGTAGGTCCTGTACTCATTTTTCGTCTTAGATATATCATGTAATTATAATTATTTTATTGATAGCTTACCAGATTTACTTAAACCTCGTCGTTTACTCTTGCCTGCTTTGTCGATCTGCATTTTACAACAATTCTTTGGACATGATCTGGAACAGGATGTGTGGCAGCTAGCAGGACAAACTGACGTGGATCGAACACTAAGAGGGGATGATGAGTAGTTATCTAGAACTGGAATTCTCCTTTTTTCATGTTGTGCTGTCTTGCAACACTGCATTGGGCATTTATCATGGCAGCTATGGTAGCAGTTAGCTGGACAGGGAAGGGTTAGTGTGTAGGAAGAAGTATCACGAGTTACGCCCGACTGCGTCGTCGAACAGCATTGCCGTGGGCAAGTATTGAAGCAAACTCTGAGACAGATAGGTTGACAGTGGACTTGTGATGGGTCGACACTGGGCACGTAATGAGAAGGAAGCGAAGGAAGATTACAGCAGCGAAAGGGGCAATCAGGGGCACAGAATTTACTGCAAATAGCTGGACATTCTGATGATGTATTTGGAATCGGTGATACTTGCTGGGCTGTCGACCCTTGCTGAGCCTGTAAAGGCAACAAAGTACATGTTCCCTTTTTCTTGGAAAATGAGATGTAGACCTGACTGATCGTTACTCACAGCAGATCTCCTTATTTTCTTTGATTTGACGTCCCCTTCTAAGAGAGTGTTACCTGATTCAATGTTGCTTGTAATGTCTGCTGCGTATTCCTTTGTCTCATGTTCTTTACACAGCAGTAGTCAGGACATGAATCGATGCATTTCCCATCACACTCAAAGGAGCATGGTCCGTAAGAAATCTTGGGCTGAGAAGCCGAACCAGGGGCATCACCTTGGAGTTGACAGTAAAACTAAATTCAGATAAGTGGAAAAGAAAGGTCATAACCCGCTCGACCAGAATGAATTGCGGACGGAATGGCAATTCTCAGCATTTTCTGTTTTATTGCAACGGGAAGCCCACTGTCTGTGTATTATTATTCGAATGGATCTCCGCAGTCTTAATTGTGAACGGCTTTTTAACCTATCACATAGTTTTTTTTTAAAGTCTATCGTCCATTTGCTACATTGTTTTGTCGTTTTCATTCCGCTTTCGCGATAATGAAGCCGTAGAAGAGGTCGTCCTGTATGGAAAGAAAGCCTCCCTATTATGTGGCTTCCAGAATCAACCCGAGTTAAAAGCATGGAATGAGTGAAAGACAGCTTTAGTAATTTTAAAGGAAACGAACAGCAACAGACAGAAAACGTAGTCAATATACCTCTTCCAAACTAGCGGTTTAGTCGTGCTCTAATCGATAATACCTTTTTGCTATGAAAATATTGGCAAAAGGCACGGCTATTTTGATACCCATCAAAGTCGCGTGGGTTTTTGAGACCCAGTTTTGAGTTGCCACAAAAAAAGTAACAAAAACAACGCGAGAAGCACACTGGTTGAGGTTGGCCCTTTGAAGACTTGTGTGAAAGTTTACCGTCTTGAGAGAAAGAAGCTGTCCCGTTGAGTTTTTCTGTGTTGATGCAAATTACCAACAAAGTTATGGTGGAATTTTTTTACCTTACCTCCACAATAGCCCCACTGTTTGTCAATATCATAGTTGTACGTGGTGGCACACCAGGGCTTGGATGCATCGTGAGTGGTGCAGGTTGGGTGTATTGTACCTTTATACACGAAAGGGAAATGACAGCAGTTACCATTTGAATTACCTCCATGAGAAAGGAAGCATGCCGCACAGAATCCCCACAGCTTGTCTTTGTCGTAGTCAATTGTGGATGAGCACCAGCGGTAACCTCTCTCAGCCCTCGTGCAGCGGTGTTGCGGGCTGCCTCGATAGATGAATGGAAATATGCAACAGGCTCCCATTGAGGTCCCTCCATGAGTCTGCATACATCCTGTGTTTTCCAAAAACAACCCAATGAGATGAAATTTCAGGCGGTTCAGAGGGTTATGAATTTTGACAGTGGTTTTTATTTTGTTTCTCTTATTTTCTCAGAAGGCAGTAAGATAAGGGCGCACGAGAATGTTGTTTTTTTCTTTATGCAACAAGTTGTTGATTAACAACGAGCAGGCTGATAACGTTATTATGCGCGCTGGTGGCAAAAAGGAAAGTTTAATGGGACATTTTTGGTCTGGCATGAACAATATAGTGCCAAGGACCCTTTTTAAAGCTGACTATATTTTGTTTCCTTTTTGGTGAGAAAATTAGCCTCTCTCATTTCGCACGTAGTAACACAAGTCAGGTTTCTTAAACCACAATAACGGAGCAAAAACTGTTTTTTATGCTTTTATCGAAATAAAGCCATGAGAGTCCTTTCAAGGCAAGCTTTAAAAGGCTTCATCGAGTTTTATAAATTTTTTGTCATGAAATTTAACTATTCTTTAAGAGGTGAAAAATGTAACAAATTGATCCTCTGTAGCAACGTAAGTACCCTTTTTCATTGATATATGTTTCTTTATTTGTTCATGGGATCACTTGGCTCACTGCAAGCGAGTTCGACAATGTCTTTCAAAGATCAAAAGTCGAGACCGCTGCGCAATGGCCAGAACGCTAGTTATATTGCCAATGTAGCTTCCGCAAGCTTCAAATAAGTATCAACTTTGAATATTTCAGAATGAGTGTAATCAATTTGACGTTTAACCCACAAACTTATTTTCCACCAACCTGGAACCAAGGGAGGCGTTGAAATTGGTGGTAGTGTTGGCAAGGTGACAGAAGCAACTGTTGGCAATGTGATTGGATTTGGTGTGGATGATGTGCATGGAGGTAAAGTATTAGATGGTTTAGGGGACGCTGAGGGTGAGCATGAAGGGGGGGAAACAGGAGGAGGATGAACGGTAGGAGCAGGAGGAACAAGAGAAGGGGGAGCAGGAGGAGGTGTATTGGTAGGAGGAGCAGGGGAAGTAGGAGGAACAGGAGGAGGTGGAGCGGGAGGGGGAGCAGGAGGAGGGGGAGGAACAGGAGGAG